TCCCAGAGACTCACGGATTGAATGTTACGAGAATAGATGGCTCATGAAATATATTTCTTATATTATCGTTTGCTATACTATAATTGTAATACCCGGTTTTTCCCCTTTTATTGAATTCAGCAGAAAATTTTGGCACTTGTAAAATATACCCCAAATTTTGGCATTTGTACAATAACAATACATGCATATGGTCTACAAAAAATAAAAATATTACTATAATATAAGAATATGAGCACTCACTTCTTTCAAATGATTTTACTTGCTTTTAAGTTTTGCAATCTCTTCTGCAATAGAAAACGTTTCATCAATTATAAAGTTTTATTATTGGTAAATTAACTAAATGATTTATCATTTTTTCTAATTGAATTATCTTTAATTTACAATATTTTATGAAATTTGACATATATATATATATATTTTTTGTTATATAATTAAATTATTACTACAAGTTAATACCTTTATTTGACATAAAATAAGTAAAATAACTCAATTATTTAAATCTATTGATTAATTAAAATTTTTACTTGAATCAATTATTTAAATCTATTGACTATTTCTCCCTTACATGCAGAAATAAGCCCAAAGTTCTTGTCAGTCCTCCTATCCACAATTAACATAATTCCTTGTTAACATTAAAAAAATAAATTTACTATATATATAATCTATTAATTTTTTTTTGAATTTTAATATGGGATTTTCTAAATCCAAGTAGGGTCACAGTAGTATTTGGGTCATTATTGACGGACTAACAAAATTAACTCATTTCTTGTTAATCAGACAGACAAATTCAACTGAAATGTTGATCATATTATATGCAAAAGAAATTATCATATTGAATGCTGTTTCAAAATTTGTTATATCTGACAAAGATGGAAGATTTACGCTAGATTGTGGAAAGACATTCAGAAAAATTTGGGTACACATTTGCATTTTAGCACAATATTTCATTCAGAGGCTGATAGACAATTGGAAAGGATAATTCATGTATGAAAAGATTTATTGAGGCTCTATGTCATTGGCTTTGAAGGCATTTAGAAAGATCACATCTCGATGATTTAGTTCACTACAATAATAATTATCGGTCCAATATTAAAATAGCTCCCAATGAAGAACTGTATGCCATGAAATGCAGAATTGTATGCCATGAAATGCAGAACTGGGTTGAAGTGTACAATCGTCAAATATTAGGTATTGATATAGTTGATAAAATCATAGATAAAATCAAATTAATTAAAGATAGGTTGAAAACTGCTGAAGATTGACAGAAAAAATACTGTGGCCCAAGCCATATCAATAGAGTTTAAATTTGGTGATTTTTGTTTTCTTAGAAGTTAGACTTATTGATAGATTTGGTCAAGGAACATGTTGAGCCTCGGATATATTCGTCTTTTTGAAATCGTAGAAAAGATCGGTTTTGTTGCTTATATACTAACTTTGCTTATTGATATGTCAGGCATCCAAGAAGTATTTCACATTTCAATTTTGAGGAAATGAGCTTTCAATACCCACTGGTGGATTTCACACAAATATATTGATGTGAGAAAGATTTAACATCATTGAAGAGCCTGGGAGAATCTTGGAAATTGATGCTAAAATGTTGATGAACAGGTAGATTCATTATGTTTAAAATTAAAGTACATGCCAGAGAAAGAAGCTAGATGTCAATAAGAAGAAAAATGCAACAAAAATATCCTTTTTTGTTCAAGAAAACTCGTAAATTTTGAGAATGAAATTTTTATAAAGAGGAGATATTTGTAATTCTCACTTTTTCTAGTTTCACGTAATCACGTGAAAATTCTGACAATTGTAAAATACATCCTAAATTTTGCTTCTCTTGAAATTTTACCGAGGCAAATTTATAAAACTGTACATTTTGAATTGATTAATTTGATATATAACATTATGCATAAATTATAAATGTATAGAGAGATAAATTGTTGCAAGTATAATTTTAATTAACACTTAATTAATCCTAATTAATTTTATAATACCTAGAATTATTGTTTCCACCAACCTATTCAGTTGATTCTCAGTCGTGGTTCAAATGACGGAGATTCATTGCGGGGAGGAGGTAAATAATGCATAGGAAGCTCCATGAATTCCTCATTGATTCTGATTTCTCCTTGCCGCAACTCCCCTGCTTGTCTCATGTAGCAGACGTGAGCAGACGCAACCTGTAGGGACTAAAACTCATGTCTTAGGGGTTCAGAATGAAATCGGTAAGAGGATATTTCACATTTGCACAAATTGGACTATTTCTTCTTTCCCGTTTCATTTTGATATTTGTCACGATTAAGGCATTCCACATTTTGGGAACACGTGGAAATGCATTGAAGGATTAAGGGAAGAAAAAGAGGTAAGATGAATATGAAGAATCAGGAAGGGTTGGTTATGCCGAGACGCCTAATTAAGGTAAGAAAATTATTTTTATGGTTAAATCATGATATAAGCCAAGAATTCATAAAAATCCTTCAGGTTTATGAATTCCAGGTTATTTCTATTAGGCGGCGAGCTCAAAGAGGGCCTGAGAAAACTCGTCGTAGGACTGCTCAATCGTTTCAGGTGAAATAATAGTGTTAAATTATGAATAATACATTTAAGATTTGATGTACTTTTTTTGATATGTGAATGCATTTAGAATTTTTGGATATTGAATAATGCCCGCATATGACTATATGAATGCTAGTTTATGCGGACTCTGACCATTATTATGATTTTCTTATGATATTGATGTGATGAGCATATTCTGAAATATTTGCTTGTAGCTATTCTTATCATGTTATTTATGCAAACGATTATGCATTGCATATGATTGTTTATTACATGAATTGTGATTATAAGACCATGGCAAGTTTTGTGATAGATAAGCTATTATATGAATGCTTGTAAGTACAAACGAAATTTATGATAGGAATCCCTACTTCGGGTATTCAGACAGTGACGAAACATTGAGAATCTTTGGTATCTGATGGGGACAGAAAGTAGGGAATCATTTGTATAAATGAGGTTATTGATAACTACTATGTTAGAAGGGACTCAACCTTTATCAATAGTTAAGTAGTCTTCGGGTTTGGTGATAACCAAATGAAATGACATATAAAAAGGTAGTCGATACCTATACAATTACAAGTGATATGACTAAGATGACCTTATATGATTATGAAATTCTTTTGGATATGACTATGGTTGCACATGAATAGATAAAATGTATGATTGCTATAGTTATTGCTTTCTGCATTTCATGTTATTTTTTTTAGCTATAGTTATTGCTTTCTGCATTTCATGTTATTTTTTTTACATGTGAGGCAAAATCTTGACTCTTGAGTCTCCATTAGGCCAAAGTGGACAATAATTTAATGTGTGAGAGTTCGAGCTGCTACATATTTTATAGGGTCTTAGTTAGATTAATAGTGAAAAACATGATGGCAAAAAAGGAAGAACAATGTAAAACAATGAAAATGAAAATTTTACTCTGAATTCTCGATTAATTGTTAACGCAACTGATGATCATAAAGATTACTTCCTCCAAACTTTTATTATGGTTCTATTCTTCTTCTCCTGGAGGTTTGTTTTCAAGGGTTACGATTCACGCCCAAGAGATCATTTACTTGGGTGAGAACACAAGAACTCAAGGGCCCATGAAACTTTGAAGATTTAATTTCTTTCTGGATAGTTGTAAAGGACTCACATATTTCTTAAATTATTCGATTATTGACCTCCATCTTTCAAAGCTTGGGGAATGAGGTAATTAAATGTGAAGTCATTAAAAGGTGATGGATAGCTGAAAAGGACGGTGTAATGACACAATTACCATTCAACTTGTTTTTAAACATATTGGGTTAGTAAAACATGCTAAATCAACCTATTACGCAATAATATTTGAAATTTATCATGACCCTTGCCTTGAAATTACCTCACAACACGTAATAAACGGCATGAAAATTTAATGCAATATCTCACCATTTATTAACACACTCAAGCATAGTCTCATAGGTACAACACACTAAGTCCTTGGTACATGTTTCTAAAATTATTAATCACTAAAGTTGCTCCAAAATAAGTCACGCATTAGTACTTCCTATGACTCATTTTTTTTATATAACTAATTATATCGGAGTTAATCATAATATGGACAAGTGGCATCCTATCAACTATCCAGGAAAAAAAAAAGAAGAAATTCATCACCTTCTCTATTGTATAAGTGTTCCAATGATGAGTTTCTTACAAACATAAAAGCTTTACAACACTGATTGTGCCATTGGAGAACTCTTATGCATGGATTGTTCTTGGTGATGCAACCTGGAGCAAGAGGTATGAACAGTGAGGATCTCTGTGTATTTGACATGCTATTTCTTTCTATCTAGGAAGCTCATGAGACTATTTGCTGGTTATCAGTTTAATCTCATGCAGGGGCAGCTTAGAATGAGTGCAGACCTACTTGGGGTTTCTCTGATTGTGAGCAATTTTGCTATAGAGCTAATTGCTTTATGAACTAGAATCCATATATGGCTTGAAGTGAGGTTGCTCGTGGTTGTGCAATCATAAGTACTGGGCTGATGTGGCTAAAGCATTTTCATGCAGAGGGATGTTGAAATGAAGAACTGCACAAGTTTGCTTGTGGTATTGTAACCCTTTCATCACCCCGGTTTTCATTACTAACATACCAATTGTTAATGCTACCCTTTGCCAGGCAAACCTACAGCAGTACTGCTAATGAACAGATCACCGTCGTGCAATGTTATGTTTTCTATAAACAAAGTCACATATGTATTACATTTGATGAAGCTTATTCTAATCATGGAGGAGAGAGTTTTATACTCATAAAATCATTAATTGATTTTTTCTTAGGATGATTTTTTGTAAGGGTTGCAGGTTTTGTTTGTGGTTTATTTGCTATTTGAAATTTTATGGTAGTATTTACTAGTTAGCCATTATTTTAGTGTTATGTATATGACTTGATATTTTTTTAGATCTAGTAACAATGATTATATTTTTTGTAGATTCTATGAGTGGAAGAAAGATGGATCCAAAAAACAACCATACTATATACATTTTAAAGATGGAAGACCTCTCGTTTTTGCTGCGCTTTTTGATTCGTGGGAGAATATGGAAGGTTGATGTTTTCCTGTTCTCTATATCTTTTGTATCATTTTACTTTCATAAATTTTTTTCTGCGTGTTAGTGTTTGTGGTGACTCCAAAATGTGCTGCCTGAGCCATGCTTTCAATGCATTTTTTCAGGACACATCACCAGTTAAGGAACACAAATTTTTTTTTGTTGAACTTTTACCTTCGAGGGCTATATATTATATTTTGTTTTATTTAAGGTTTAAGAATGTCAATTTATATTTTTCTGTGCTGCAACATTTTAAAAGTTGAAACATTATTTACTTTGGGGTTGTTTGGGATCAATTTTTATTTTTTATTTTATGTTTTTGAAAACAAACAATAGGAAACAAACTTAAAAAACAGTATTTGCTTATTTGTTTTTTTGTGACAATACTTTTGTTTTTAAAATATTAATACTAGAAAAAACATATTTTTGTTTATTTTTAAAATACCAAAACAACCCTTCGCTTAGCCTGATGCGCCGGCTCCCGCCCATTGTCGCAGCCACCGACCTCTGCCTACTGCTGCAGTCGGCATCCGCTGATTGTCGCAGCCGTTGGCCGCTTGCCCTCGCCAGTTGTCATCGTCCACGCTCTGCAGTTTGTCGCTGGTGGTGGCCTGTCCCCGTTGTTGACCCCCGTCAGATGTTGCCCGCCACCAATCCTTGCTCGCCTTAGTTGCCCACTCCAGCGCCCTCCTCCAGCCTCCAGCTGCTGGCGGCCTCCTCCTGCTCGCTGGTCGCCCACAGCTAAATGCTCGCCAGCCGCCTGCTGCCTTTAGCCCCAAACCCCCGCCAGTCGCCACTATCATTCAGTCGCCGCATGCCGCTCGACCCCCAGTTGGCAGTCACTGCTAGCCCCCGCCAGGTGTCGCGCACCGGCACCTTCCCCTGCTGCCGCCGACAGTCAGCACCTGCCAGCTGCCGTTGCAGCCGCCC